ATTGGCATAGCTGGGCATAGCTGGGGATTCACTGTATATTTCTTTGCGTATGTTTAAAATATTTCACATTGATCTTTTTTTTTAAAAAAAAAAGAGGGCTGGGTAGATTCAGGTTATGTCTGTAAGAAACAAACATCTGGGAAGTTGGAAACATCTGGATGATTGACTGATTTACTATCATTTAGATGTAAACTAGAGATTTTCCAAAGGGGACACAACACAGCTTTAAGAGAATCAATTTTCAGATCTCAAAATTTCTCAATATACTCATTCCTAAAAACAAATCTGAGAACAAACCTGCATGTGTACACAGGTTCTTTCTTTCCCATACCCCCGCCTCATTCTCTCTTGTCCGTTGTACCACGGGGTCTTTCTCTGATGCACTGCCTGGAGACACAAGCCTCCAGTCAGGAGAGGGGTGATTTCAGGGACGCCTCCTTGCAATCCAAGTTCCATACTCTTGCCTGGAGCTGTGGTTTCTCAGGGTCCTACGAATTGCTGTAGGGAGTGCGGGGCTGTGCTACCCCCAGGGCACTACAGCCTATGTAGGGATGTTCTGGATTTAAGTGTTCTGGATTTAGGAGCTGCATGGCTGGGAGTAACACCTGGTTTTCCATCTCCTAAGAATTACAAAATGTTCATCCCTCTTTAGGGAGTGGCCTCTGAGAGAAGAGCAGAGAATATAGAATGCTTAAAATGGCCCTTTTCCGCACATATTTAAAGATAATGCATTTTTTGGCTTTGAAAAAACTCCCTAGGACATGTCATGAGCTGGAAAGAACAGCATCTCTGAGTGGGTGAAGCAGGACAGGTTGGTGCTGATGACTTTAAATATAACTAGCATCTTTTCTGAGACACTAAATTTTTGAAGATTCACTGGACAATACTGGTAAAATCAGAAACATGATTTTTTTTTTCAGATTTTGTATTCATCACTCATTAAAGTATTTAAATCTTATTTGTAATCCAATCACATTAAGAAATATTTACTCCAACATAACCAGTCGTTATTTTATTTTATGTTGTAAAATATTTAATAATACATGCAAGTCTATACTGGCTTTCCAGACCAATCAGTTTTCACCTTGAATAACTTTCTTTCATTGAATACTAGTAAATATTTGATTTGATGTTTAATTAAATTAATAAAATTGTTTCTGGGTTTTTTATATACGGTTATTATTAATTATTCCCAAAATTCAAACAGCAGAGTCCTATATACATGAGGATATATTTAAGTAACATCATATTTTTTATCATATTCCTCAATTGATAACTTATACATTTAGCTACACATTTCACTGCATTATGTTTGTTACATGGATATAATTAATCATATAAGACCTGAATCTTTTTATACTTCTCCTGTCTATTTTTGATAATCTCTAAAATATGCATTCCATAATTCATTTTTCAGTAGTTTTCAAAATATTCTTCAAAACATATATTAACATTTATTTGAACTGATAATGTAGTCAGATATTGACAGGAAATAAACCTAATTCAACTCATTGGTTTGACAACAAGGACTGATTTTGCCAACTAGGTAAATATAGTATAAACTCTATAAGCTAAGTCTTCAGCTCCAAGATTTTGATAAAAATATATCAAAGTATGTGATGATAAAGCCTTTCATCCAAAAAGGAGATTGTATTAGAAAACATTTATTAAAATTAATGTTTTCATTTTCCAAGTCATTTTTGATCATAAAATATTAAACAGGTTGCCTCCAAGTGAAAGAGTAACAGGTGCAATTTAATAGTCATTTGTTAAGATGTGCCTTTTCAGTTTGTTTCTCAGAGACCGAGATAGGGACTAACTCAATAAGTGGATGACAAATCACCTCATTACTGGCTTTTGATAAAATTGAAGGGGTACCTAAACCAAGTTGTCACTAGATCAGTCATTAAAAATCACCTTGTGATTTCTGGCATATGACTCAGAACAAGTTCAGAGTGTTGAATGACATTGCTATACTAAAACTCCTTTCATTCATATCTACTTATTTATGTATGTGAACAAAGTTTCTCAACATTAGAATCTATAAATTGAAAACGAAAGAGGACCAGAATAAAACTTTTGCTGAATGCAGTCGCATTATAAAAATAACAATACTCAAAACTGGATACTGAACTAATTAAAACAAAAACCGGCTCATTTATCTCATTAAGATGCAGCTGCAAAAAATGTACTTTTTGTATTTAGTAATTATCAACATTTGTAATGTATTTGTTGCTTTGAGCAACTGTATACCAAAAATAATGTGATAACTCAGTACTTAGGGTCACATAACATGTTTAAAAATTAATTTCAACTAGTACACTAAAATAGTTGCAAAGAAGGATAATAGAGTGATCAATAAATTGCTTTCAAACATAAGATATATTACAGCAGGAAAAAAAGTCTGTGGAGGAAGTGGAGTGGAAATGAGAGTTCAGGAAGAAAAAGGAATGAAATAAATTACCTATCAAAGAAGAGCTTGTTTATTTATTAAAAGGATCATGGCAAGTATTAATATTAATTTGCTAAGGCATCTAGAGTGCTCATTGGTTATATTTAAAAGTTTTATTTTAAAATGTCAATATTAAGGATGGGCTGGAAGTTTAATCTTTTAAATTAAATCTTTTAATCAATTTAAATTTATGTCGAAACTTTTAAAGAACTTTAAAAATATGTGAATTTGAAGACCACTGACCTAGACTCCCTAAGTATCTATTTGTTTTTGGCTTTTATCCCAAATGTTTCTTCTTCGATGATATAGTCATACACCTGGCAGATGCATTACAGTCAGATGATAAATCTCCCAGTGAAGGGCGATAGCAGGACTGGGTGATTTCAGTAACTCAGAAATCTGGAGTCCTGTGGCCTTGCACTTTTTGGAAGTCTATCATGTATTATGTAGGAAAAAAAAATGAATGAAAATGACTAACTTCTTTGTGCTAGTCACTGTCCTCATGCTTTAACTGTGTCCTCAGAACAGCCACCTTAGGCAGGCATCATCATCCCCATTTCACCAGCAACAAAGCTGAGCCCCAGATGACCCATTACTTGTCTAAGGTAGCAGAGATGATAAGGGTTGGAGCCTAGAGCCTCAAGCTGAGGACAGAACCTATTTCTGCCAGACTCCACATCTATGGTCTTGCCAATACTCTGTTCCACGTCTCAATAATTTGAACTTTTAAGGTAAAAAGAGCCAGTAAAGATTGGAAACAATTCACAAAGTGAACACAGGCAATTGAAGGCTCTCCATGCTGATTTCACACCTACTTGTGATGCACTGGAAGATGAGACAGGTCCCGAATCCTGCTCTCACTCACCTACTGATGAGCTCAGAAAGGCAACCGATGTTTAGAAATTCCCCCCCACCCTCAGCTCAGGTGGAATTGGAGGAGAAGCTGCAAGCCAGCAGCAATGTCTGCAGGAGCAGAGGTAAGGACAGGGGGACTGTGGCCTTCTTCTAGCTTCCAGGACTAGTGTTGGTGATGGTTGGGATAACGAGTATTCACTCATCCACACAGCCATTCACTCGATAGTCACTGCCTGCCTACTATGTATTAGGGAGTGTGTTCAGTTCACACTGATGTTCAGGCAGCACAATCCTGTTAACCTATGTACCGGGTCTATTGTAAGTCATGACACATGGTAACTTTATGAAGAACCAGCGTGGGGATTTTCTGGTTTTCTCGTGGGAGGTTTGGGTACTGTTTGTGGGAAGGCACTCTCCCTGATGCTTGGAAGAGGGCTGTGCCCGTGATCACCCATGCCCGAGTACATTTTTACGAGCCTTCTCTAATTACTCTCTCCCTTTGTTTTGGATTCTGAATAATAAGAGACGTGGGCAAATGGAAGTGCATGTGTCAGTCCGATTGCAACGAGGACCTACCGCACAAGAGCAGGCACTGCTCCCACTTTAGGTGTGAACGCAGTCTTCATCGTGGTGGCGTAGGAATCCCAGCTGGTATCGCCTGCTGAAAGTACAAGAAGGCAGCTTTACATGTGGCAAGCCAGAATATTTTGATCAATCATTGTTTTAACCATTAAAATAATTTTGTAAGGGAAAAAACATTTTGAATAAAAACTTCAGAGTCTAAGGAGTAAAGGCCAACTTACAGCCTCTAATAGGAAAAAAAAGAGAAGCTCAACTTAATTATCTGGGCTCCCCCCCAATAAAAAATAGATTTATCATTTTGCCTGAGTATTCATACGTGCTGTTTTAAAGAAGTCAAGCCATAAAAATAAAAAGAAGAAAGCAGTTCATTTGAAATTCTATCATCTTAAGTGACCAACATTTCATGAGTCATAGCAAATAAGCCTATACATACGTGGGATGATTTTACACACGGGGTCATATCAGACAGGCCAGGCTGGACACCCTCTCACACCTTCCTTTCCTGGTCCACTGTCATCTTCCTCCCAGGTAGCCCATGTTAACAATTGTGCCCGTTTCTTTCTGTACTTGCATACGTGTGGATGTAATCATATGCAGATTTATGCACACATATATCAACACACAGACATATTGGGTTTTAGTTCTCACCATTTTGTTTTACAAAAATGGGTTCATATTACACAAAGTGTCCTTTTCTTATATCTGTTACTAACAGTGGCTTATGGAAAACCCCTCCAACTCATCTCAGATGCATTCTTTGTAATGACTGTGCAAAATTCTGCGGTGTGGCGTTATTTCAAGCTAGGAGAGTGGAGTGACACACAGGAGAGGGAGTAGAGGTAGAGGACAAGTCCCAAGGCTGGGGCCTGGGGCACCCCAACGTTAAGAGGTTGGGAGACGAGGGGACCAAGTGAAGGACCGAAAAGAATAGTCAGTGAGGGGAGGAGGGAACCAGGAGCTTGTGGCATCCAAGAGCAGAAGGAAGAAAGGGAGGGAGGGAAGACTTGCGGCAAATACTGCTAGATGGTTCCAGAAGGATGCCGACTGAGAATTTATCCTTAGGTAGATACTGGCAACAGCACAGTTTTCCTGCCCCAACCTCCCATTGTCCACAAAGTACCACCAATTTCTTGAAAAAATGTATTTTAAATTTAAAATTCAGTCATTCTCTCATTCTTCACATCTGGGCAATTACCTGTTGCTTTTCACATGTCATGAGAAACTGGGTTGCAATGTCTCCACTTTTTAAATAAACAATGCTGTCTAGGGTCTGTCACCTCATCCCTAGAAGACGGTAGCCACCTTCTTGCCTGTTTTTGTTCCTGCTCATGTATCCTATTACAATTGCTATAAAGTATCTCTCGTCAATTTCCCAATATTCTTAAAAGCTGTATGCACTGCCTAGCATAGAGAGCGCTGGCCAAATATTTACGGTTCCTGTCATCTGTGAACCTCTTGATGTTCATCTGCTCATGACTCCCAGCCAGACCTTGTTTCTAATTGAACAGGCTCTCCTTTCCAGCCAGGGTCTGCTCAGCCGTGACTATTACTCATGGCCTTCACCCTGGTTCAAGTCCCACCTCCACCAGGAAGCTCCCCCAGTCAGAGACCTGCGGCCTTAGCCGCCTGTATACCCGTCTCTGCACGGCTGCTTGCACACACTCCCGGGTTCTGCTCTCTGATCCCACTCTATTAGAAATGACATCAGCCTTTGATACTCCTGCCTTACTGGGAATCACTTTGTGCCTGAAAGTATTTTATTCCAATAGTAGAATGAAATGTTCTCTGTTAAAAGAATTTCAGTGTGGACAGGAAGAAGGGAAGGAGGTGCGAGGCATGCAGCTCTTAAAAGTAAGTCTTCTTTAACCTCATTTGAACTTCTGAGTTGGACTTTGGAAGGATCAGGAGACACATCACTTAGCCCTCCTTTTCCTAAGGCAAACAACATTAACCTAGTACAGATCATGTTCCTGTTAGGATCAGATAAGCCTCAAAGACCCTGGCAGAACAGCGCTTCAGGCAGCATTTCCCAACCAATCACGTGGGCGAGCAAGATGTGCCTCTCTGTGTCTCCGTCTGGGGTGCTTCTTCTGAGGACAGGCTGGGAGCTGGCAGCAGGGCCCGATGATTGCTAAGTGCCCATTCCAGGCGCCTGCGGGACAGGAGCGACATGCCTGGCTGCTTCCAGTGCCCGAGGCCAAGCGGTCCTCCCTCTTCCTGTGTTACCGTGGTAGAGACCAGGCAGCCCCTCCGCCACCTCCCATGTAGCCCGCGTGGACGCGCACTTGACTTTAGTACAACCTCCTTTAATTTGTGTTTAGTGATTTCTCTTGCTACAGTCCTTTTTGTGAAGTCCATGTTTCTATGCTTTTTACCGCCACTGTCAAAGCTTCTGAAAATAAAGTATGTTATTGGAATTAATCCTCTTCATTAACAGAAATGTTCATTTAAAAATCCATCATCACGATGTTCTAAAAATCTGTTTCTAGTGTGTTCTCTGCATGTCACTGTTTCTTCTGCCTTTCTTCTTGGCTGGTATCTCGGTGTCATTCTCTGTAGCTTATGTCCATCGCCCTGTGGTTCTGTCTTCCCGCTTCTTTCTTCCTTGGCTCATTTTCGGTTCCTCCTACAAACAAGTCCTGAAGCCCTGCGACAGAGAAAGCCCGCGCTGGGCGCTGGGACACAGAGCCTGTCCAGGTCTCGGAGAACTCAAGGGCAGTGGAGAAGCTAAACACCCTGTGAGCACAAGTTTAAAACCATGCCGACATCCCATGCGTCACAGGGACCCTAGGGCTGAGCAAGGGCAGGTGCACGGGGCACTTCATAGCATGGGCGGCATCTGAGCTGGGATTTGATTGAGTAGACATCTGACAGGGACACCCAGGAGGACACAGAGTAAAGCAATTTGCAGAGGAAGTAGTAGGAGTTTTGAGAGTCTGCGACAGGACAAATGGCCCCACGTAAGGGAAGCAAAGGCAGAGATGGAGAACAACAGGCCGGCCAGGCCTCGTGTGCCCTGCAACACCTAATCCCTCTTCTGTTAACCTTGGTGACCCACTGGATGTGTTTGTGATTATGAAAATATATTACAAAGCTTTGAAAATATAAAATAGTAACTGATGTGTATATTATACTACACTTTAGAAAGTATTTCCACATATTTCGTTTTATTCTCACAATAGTCTGATACCTAATGGTACCTAATAATTCTAATCTTATGTTGGTTTGAGGGTTAAAGGAGACGATGAATGTAAAGCCTTTGCAGCATGCTGAAGGTGGTCTCCAAAAGACAGGCCCATGTCCCAATCCCCGGAACCAGTGAATCTGACCTTATTTGGAAAAGGTGTCTTTGTACATGCGATTGAGGATCTTGAGATGAGGAAATCACCCTGGATTAGCCCCATGGACCCTAAATGCAACTGCAAGCATCCGTAGAAGAAAGAGGCAGAGGGAGATGCCACACAGACAGAAGAGAAGAAGCCAGTCTGACCATGGAGACAGAGACGGGACAGATGCTGCCACAAGTCAGCAATGCTGACAGCAGCCAAAGCTGAGAGAGACAAGGAAGGATCCTTCCCTAGGACCCGCAGAGGGAGGCCAGCCTTGTCCAGACCTTGGAGTCCTGACCTCCAGAGCGGTCAGAAATAAATTTTTGTTGTTTGAAGCCCCCAGTGTGTGGTAACATAGAGCAGCCACAGGAAGCTAATACAGCACGGAAGAGCCCAGTTGGTAGTTGTTCAATAGCAGTTAGTCGTCACACTCATCATCAACCTTGTCCTACCTTCACCCCAAAGCTGGGCAGTGACACACCAAGCCCACCTTTGGGAGGATGACCCAGCACTGCAGGATGGAGTAGCACAGAGTGGCCATTAGAGACTTGAGTCTGGAGAGGAGGCGTCAAACTCACCCAGGGAGGGAGAACTTTGGAGGCGGAATCAGAGACCTGGTGATCCAATTGCAGTCTCAAGGAAGCTGCTGTCCCTTCTAATCAGAGCAGCTGGGACTCTCCTGAGCTCTCTGGGCGTTTTGAGGAGGACAAGGAGTGTAATTTTGCACATATTAAGTTGGAGGCCCTGCCGTGACATCTAAAGGGTGATAGACAGTTGGATATTCTCGTCTGAAAATTAGGAGGAAGGTCTGAGTTAGAGATGAAGATTAGAGAGTCATTGGCACCTTTGTATGGCACCTGAAGGCCACTCACATAGAGCATGGAAGCCCCAAAAGGTGAATCCCGGAGGACTCTAACATTTCCCAGAGAAGGAGGGGGACAGGAGACAGTGAAAAACCACAGCAGGGCGGTTAGAAAGGGAAGAGGAGCACCCAAAGGGGTGCTGCCAGGATGTTGGGAGAGTTTCCTCCCCCTCTGTCTCTCCTGCGTGCCTTGCCGCCATACAGAAACTAAATATATTTGATATTTTGTGTGGGAGTTAAGTATGTTCATTTTCTCTTCATAATTTAAAAAGGAATGGATTGGAATGAAAATACACATTTCATTCTCTCTTATGGGAACACTGTTCTAAGGAATTTGTACTTGGACAATTCCTCACCGCTCTGGAGCCACCATGGAACCGCAGTTTTCTAGCTGGATGCTGCAATGTGCAGTCATTGCCATGAGAAAGGCCACGATGGCGCAGACTACACAGTATATATGCCACTGCCATCGCAGTAGAGTGGTCCTCCCTCCACAGACCCGAAGAGCCGAGCTGGCAAACCCGCTGCATCTGCATGCAGGGCTAGGACCAAGAGCACTACACCTGTCAAACAGGAAATCTCTTTGAAAGAACAATCAGCCCAGGGTTGGAAGCAGCAGCTGAATGCCACAGCTCTCGGCCTGTGCTACAGCTAGGTGGAGGGTCCTTGCCTCTGCCACACACACACACACACACACACACACACACACACACACGTGCACACACACACACATGCATGCACACGCACACCCACACGCACGCAGTTTCTTTGCTGTTTCCCAGGCCCTGCATGGGGGGTCAGGACCCAAGCCAGGCCTCTTCTCTTCAAGGTTTGCCTGACTTCTGTTCCTTCTTTACCTTTGTACCTGTTCTCCTTGGAACGGCACCGGTCCCTCCTTTTTCCTGTCCTCTCCTTTCCAGGCTTTTCCTGCAGCGTTTAAAGCACCTGGCGTTTTAGGGAGGGGGACTTGGCAGCGAGTATAAGAGCTGAAAAGGGCCAAGGTCGCGAACACCCTGTCATTCTGCCTGACTCCCCGTCTCTGCCTCAGTTGAGCCTGTCCCTGGGAGGCAGGCAACACCCTGAAGACCTAAGCCCCTTGGCCCAGCAGTGCCCGTTCACCCCGAGAGACCCCAGCCCCGCCCTGCAGACCTGCGGGTCGCTGTCTTACTTGGCCCAAGCTTGTGGCCGCACAGAGAGAGGTCGCGCGAAGGCCGCGCCATTCCGCCCCGAGGCAGTCGCAGGCCCCGGCTGGAGCTGACCGGCTGGAGCTGACCGGCTGGAGCTGACCTTGGCCGGGCCAGAGGCCCCGCGCGGCGCTTTGTGACGCGTCGCCATGGAGACGCGGGTCGGGTTCCCACAGCTCAGCCTGAGCAGATTCGGGCGGCGCCCGGGGCTTGCCCTGCCCGCCCAGGGGTGGGGTGCAAACCGCAGAGATGTGTTTCTGATCACACGGCTCCCTTACTTTCACGTATTTGTGTAGTTCTGACAATGAGCCCGACCACTGGGTTGTGTATTTCGGAAGAGGAGCAAAAGGGGTCAGATTGAAAAGAAAATAGTACTGTCAGATTTTCCACTGCAAACTTCCACCCATTCGTAACTTCCAGCTTAAGCAAACGTGGGCAAAGTTGTCGTGGGTCCTTGCAGTAAATGGGAGCCGAGCAAGAAGACAAAAATCACAATAATCTGCTGTCGGTAACTAGAAGCAGTTGCTCTGCTAGTTTTATGCTATCGAAAGTGTCACCTGGCTCAGGAATTAGGAGAGGCAGCAGAGGGTGCCTGGAAACAGGCGAGGGCAGGGGTGTTTCTGACACCTTCCTCCGCACCAGACCGTGTGCCTGGCACCAACCATAGTGTTTCGTGATTGTCAATTTCATTGTTCTTCTACCGCATAGACTAAGCTGTGTCTTTCACCCCCATGTAAGGGTTCTCATGGGATGATGAGGGTCTTTTATCTTCTTATCTTGGCACCTGCCTGGTAAGTTGATACAGAGTAGGTGGTGAGTAACTACTGAACGCCCCCGGGTCAGAACACAGCTATTACCCACATGGGTGGAAACGGAAGACGGGAAATGCACATTGCAGACTGCAGGCAACATGTTTAAAAAGCAGGTTACAGCAGTTCCTTATCCTTGAAGTGGTTATTCTAATTTAGGACCTTAGGTGAACAGTGAAGTGTAACGAAAGAGGAGTTAATCAAAGGAGACAGAAAAAGCATCAAAGTAAGCATCCCAAATATATATGCGAGGAATTTCTTAAATATGAAGAGCTAAACTAGAATCTTCTACGGGCAGTCCTATCCATATAACGGAATGAATGTAACACATTTTAGACTCTCAAATTTGGAAGCAATGAAGGGTGGAACACATTAGAAGGCACAGACGTCATTAAAAGGAACCAGTCTAAATTAGGATTCAGTAGTGGCATATATATTAAGAAAGTAGCACCCAATAACAGATTACTGTCTAGAAATGGTAAAACTAATTAGCATAGCATAATTTAAGAGAAATATATTTTTTAAATAGAGCAGTGAGTATATGGAATTTTTTAAGTGAATTCTTATTAATACCTTACAATTCGTGTCATCTTAGGCGAGCTGTGAAATGGTGGGTTACGCACTGAGTCGAGAGCCAGATATCGCTCTGTCGCTTTCCACCCAGAGGCCCTTGGGGTAAACCAGATCCTTCTGTCGGCTCCAGTGTCCTTACCTGTGAAATGAGTGTACTAGTACCCCCTCACCGGGCTGTCAAGATTACTGATTCTAACAATAATGTATCAACTGTAAAGCCACACAAGTCTAAGGTGTCACTCTTCTGTCTGATTGCTATTCTGATCTTCATTCTTTTTATAGTCTTTCATTTCTGCTTCAAACTGTATTTTTGTGTGGGTCCATTTTAGTGTGAACGGTATAGCGTCATTCCTGACTTTGAATTTTGGTTGCCCGAGGCAACCCCTTTAAATGATTAAGTAGAGTTTTTTGGTTTTGTTTTTTTTTTTTTTCTGTCTTTCTTCTTTCCCTCCACAAATACTGACTGTGCACTGAACACAGCTGCATGATGGCATTAAGGGCAACGCCCTGGTGCCATAGGGGACAACTTCCTAGAAGAGGAGATGCTTAAGCTGAGCCCTCAGGGATGCATGGAGCCAACCAGGTGAGGAGGAGGATGTGGCATCAGGGGGGAGGAGGGCCCAGTGGGGTGGAACTATGTGTGTAGTCCAGAGACCTTGAGTAGCCTGGTATCGCCGTACTGTGAAGGACGCGGGGGACAGAGAGCCAGTGGAGTGGAAGGCCCTGCTGCCCACGCCGAGGAGTCTGACTTCACCTGGGCGTGAGGAGGGTTCGCTGCGTGGGTTAAACAATGGCGTGAAGGGGCTACGTGGGAAGTTGAAGTAAATCCTGGCCTCTTCTTCCAAAAGGATGAGAGGGAATGTTCCGTATCATCCTGCCAGCACAAGTTAATCATTCAGAAATTAAAACATCTAGGTTACTAATATGCCTTTTACACAGTTTTGAATTGATCCAAAACAATTGAGAATAGTTACATTGAATAGGTTAAATGCTAA